TGGGAGTCACTTGCTCATTTCTTATATTCTACTCATTCAACACTACATTAAACTATCAATAACACTCCGGCCTTCCACGCCTTATCATATCAACTAGCTTATGAACATTGGGATACGTTTCATCGCCTATTATCTGGCCGGACCTAATCGAATCCCACATTGTTCACCCCGACGTTAACTTAACTCTATGCTGTCAATGCCGATGTTCTCTATATTCTACACTGTCGACTCCGATGCCTCTCTATCTCATATTGGTAACCCGATTTTCTTCATCGCGCCTTCAGTTCCGTTTAGCTGCCAACAATTCCAACACGCAATTTCTCCTACCAACGTTCCGACTTACTGGTATACGTTAACAGGATGTCCTTTCCTCATACCTACATGCCGACTTACTGGTATATGGGGACGGGATAATTCAAGGACATTCTTTGCTCCCAACAACGCGCCGACTTACTGGATTTCGTTGACGAGATACACTCTACTCCTATCAACTTGCCGACTTACTGGCATACATTGTCGAGAATACACGGTCGATGAAGATTCTTTCAATATGTGGTAAACCTTTCTTGTTCACTTATATATCCACAACTTTCCTATCTAACTATTTATACTCAATTTTCTACACTGCTCCTATTTGGTGCTCGTTTTTCTTACTGTAACCAATTTCTACCATTTGCTTAACATTCCCACATTTCCTCCCATTATTTTTTTTAACTCCGTTCTCCTGGGAGGGGGAGTATTGTAGCGACCCCTTCTTCTTAGTCATACTTTCCTCGGACGCCGCGGGGACAGGTCATGTCTAGCGTGACCACCACCCGTGCGCAAGACACGATAGTCAAAGCCTCCATTCAAGGTCCCTCCCTGTCTGGTTTTCTCAAGATCAGGAGCTTACTGTGGGGAGTTATTTACGCTCAGTCACTCCCGGAACCGACGATCTACTGTTCGGTTGTAGTTGCCCGAGCCCGGCGATCTACTTGCCGGACTGCGCCGCTGGACTCCGGCCCATTCATTACTGGACTGCACTTTCCTGGGAGTCACTTGCATGTTACTTACGTTCTACGCTTGTTACCTCTTATTAAATTATCCATAGCAATCCGTCCTTCCACGCCTTACCATATCTGCAAGCTTATAAATGTTGGGATACGTTCTATCGCCTACTATCTGCCGGACCACATCGTATCCCACAAGTTGATTTTGCAGGTGTTAATTGAGACGGTTTGGGAGAATACAAGCGTAGGTTGTGCCGACGATGTTGAGCAGCGAGATTGCGCGATAATTTTCACAGAGCTGGCTGTTCCCCTTTCGCTTGTAGAAGTGAACAATTGTGACGTCTATGAAGTCCTGGAGGACTTGACCTGGTCGCCACATCTCTAGGAGATTGCGTCCGTGAACTGGATTGTGATTGTTATAACGGTGGCCAAGAGCTGCGATATTCCCGTCTGACTAACGCCT